ATTTTTGCAGACCTAAATACGGCCAATAAACTAGACAGTTTTTAGGTGGTTTTTAGACAGTTAACACGTTGTCAACTGGCAGTTTTTAGGCAGACTGTAAACTGGCAGTTAATGAGCAGTTTATTGCTCGTCTTTTTTCTCCTGGGTATTTATTTTGCGAATATAATCGTTATTTTTAAGTGTCTTAAATACATGTACAGAACAGATTTCAGCTGACAGTACTTTCCCAAATTAAAAAGTCTTTATAAAAAGAACAGATTTTTGTTCTCGCCGGCATCTAATTCTTTATGCGTAGTTGTTCTATGTTGCGCTTCCTCACGTGTGACAAAAAATTACTACTGATAAGTTGTACTTGAAGAAGAAAAGAATGGTCTTTTCACAACTGACCAAGGCTAAAACCCAATACCCAAGCCTCTACACCCAAATGACTTGGGTTTGGGTTTGTAACATACCTATTTGGGACGATTTTTAGTAGTGGATTGTAGGCATGCACCAGTTTTTAACTGATGTTGGGGCATCCGGGAGAATTGCTATAAATCAGTTATCACGATTCTCTCAGAGCTGTAAAACATCTAATTTTGTAGGAAAATGTGTCATTTGTTAAAAGAATTCCAGAATCATTTCTAAGAAAACTCGGAGTATTCAAAAATACATTAAATCACGAAAAAAAAACTGTTTGACGTCATGCCTAGTGGATTGCTCTAGGTTTTTTGTAAGTAATAGAAAACGGTTTTGGTTTTCCTATTACGTATGTTATCTTACACGTTGCTGTATACAGCATCGGTTAAGATAATATAGATTTCATGCTCTACAGAGCTGTGCGAGTTTCGAAGGTATTAAGTTCGAATGTATAAGAAACATGCAAACATTTTTATCTTGTATACTTTTGAACTAACAATCAAAAAGTTCGAAAAAATAGTCTCATACTTTTCTAATCCTCTTCTTCATCCTTCTTTTCACATTCTCGAAGTTCAATCTCAACATAGTCCGGATCATTTTGTTTTACATTGACAACCACAAATGCTGAATATGGTCCAATTAATACTTCTTTTTCATGTTTGTATTCCGACATTTGTTCAATATCCAAACCGGTACGATTGTTTACAATTTCATATGTGCATAAAGCACTTAAATAAACATGCTCACCTTCTAAAGTTTGTCGATCAACTCGAACTTTCTTCGCAAACTCTTCAGCTACTTTTCGATCTTTTGTTGATGACATAAATGCTTTATTCATTAACTTAACACCTTTACCATACTGTTTTAAATCATCACGTGTCATAGTCATACCACGATAGACTTTACCTTTATAGGATAGCTTAGCAAATTCTGGATTATTATAAAAGAAATCAACAAAATATGTAATACCAAAATTTGAACCTTGATCAAAATGTGTTGTTGCTAAATCTTCATTCAATCTTTTATAAAAGTCCGATTCAGCTGTATATGCTGTTATTAAATGTTCTGGATTTTGTTCTTTTTCTGCACGATCTAACAGCAACTGAATGTTTTCTAGATTGGCATGAGACATTCCATCACGTATAAAATTAAGTCGTCGAGAGAAATGTTTCTCTTTCCACCCGTAACCGGAATGCCTATAGCGATAATCACTTGCCACTTCATCTGCCTCGTCATCACATTTCATCCAATCAATGTGACCTGTACCATTACCAATAAATCTATTTGGCGTTGGACGAATAAATAATTTCTTAATATTTTCGTTTTCTGTCTCCTCATATGGTATACATTTATATTTATTCTTTATCGAACGACTAGCACCGCACTTTAATAATAATTTAACTATTTCTCTATGTCCGTAGTAGGTAGCAGCATGAAGTGCCGTGGAACCGTTCGATTGAATTTCATTAATTTCTGCCAACGTCATTGATGGAAGTTGTTGTTGAACTTTTTCCACATCACCGTTGCGACAAGCAAAATAAAAGTCATTTGTTAATGACGATGACGGTGGAGCAGCAGCCATAGTTTTTCGTCAATCAGTAATAAATATTTTACCTTAAAATTAAAGAAAAATAAAAGGATAGAAATTGTGGTCCATTACGTAACAAGAGGATAATTTTTTTCTGACGCTTTATTATTACACTTCAGGCATGGGCGAGTCCGGGAGGAACCGAGTCCGAGCCGAGTCCGAGTCCTCAAAACTTTATTCCGAGTCCGAGTCCATTTCGAATCCGGTAATCTTTTAGATTCTTTTTGATGATTGTGGTTCATTTCTTTTTTTTTCTGTGCCATTTAATATATCAATCTTGTTGAAACAGAAAAAGTTACTAAAGTAAACTTCTATTACATTTTAACAATGCCAGTTGAGATAGATTATTTTTCGTAAAACGTGCTCTTTCGCGTAGTATCTTTATATCTCCACTTTTCGCTTATATAACAGCTTTACATGTTAGACATAAAGTCACAATGTTTAATTTCTATTGTGTTCCCATTCGGACTGTTATTATGAACTTAAAACAAGCTGCTGCAGTAGTTAAAATTTATTAGAGAGAGCAATATTTCTAATCTGTTATAATCTATATCTCATACATTGATATTGAATGCAAAGCTGTAGACCGTCGTTGAACTGCATCGAACTCAGAACAATAAAACTAAAGAAAAAATTCAGTGTTCATTTATGTTAAAACTTGAATCGATCGGACTCAAAATACAAAAACCCAAGTCCGAGTCCGAGTCCTTTAAAAAAATCTCCAGTCCGAGTCCGCCAAAAAATCTTCCAGTCCGGACTTGGACTCGCCCATGCCTGTTACACTTACCTCCACCCTCTTCTTTTTTGTTTTCTTTTTTCGTGCACGTGCGTAACGGTTTACAATGAACTTTCTGTTGTAATACAAATATAAAAAACAGGAATAAGAGGCATATAAATATTTTTTTCTTATAGAAAAAATACTGTTAAAAGAATTCAACTAATGTTTTTCGTTTTTCTGATAGAATGTAATTGTGTTATTATAGTATAATTTATGGACTTATTTGTTTTAAAAAGAATGTTTTTTTTGCTGTAGAAAGAAAGAAGTTATTGGTGCTGCACCATTCATAGGCCATATGTCTTTTTTTCAGAGCAAAGATAACAAACAAAAAGAGAGACTGACGGTGCCTTAGATCGATAAACACAAAGAATTCGTTTTCATAGTTAAAAAGGTTTATTAATCAGATTGTTAAGTTTTCTTATCGGCATACAGTTTGTCATTGCGAAATTACAAGACGTTACATCAGTCTTGGAACGATCTACGTATGTGTCGGAGATTAGATTAAATCTTCTTGTTTTCTGACTTTGTTAAACGTTACGATACAAGCGGGGATATTACTAGAAAAAAAAAGTGCCTTTCTGTGGCATTGCATTTTAATGCCGCCTAGTTAACCTTAAGACTCAATTAGATTTTAAACTGAACTCTGACGTGTATCTGTGGGAAGAAATGAAAGTCAAACTACAAAAAAATAAGAAATACGAGACATTCTTATAGCATTATCAAGCTGTCCTTATTGTATGCAAATCCCATTGTCAACAGTGCTAAAACAAGAACCCCGAATGAAAAGTAAACAGACCGAGATTCATATATAATTATAACAGAAAGTTACAAAAAAAAAATTTGCCGTATAAAAAAGAATGCTGAGGGTGGATCCATCTTCTTCTCCAAGTACGAGCTACATATAGAATGAAACTTTTTTTGATGAAATGCAGATATTTTGCCAAGTTATTAAGCCCCCTCCCCCCGTCAGAAACTTATCTCTGAAAGTTTAAGCCTGATCTTGACCAAACTTTTAGCAGATGCTGATCTTGTGAAAGTATGATGGCGAAATCTTTTTTTGCTCTATCTAGCATGGTTTGTGAGATGTCGCCATGACAGTGATCAAAATGGGGCTATTCGTAGCTGCAGGAGTAACGAGACCTTGCGGATAACTCGGGCTGGTTTTAAATCAAAAACATGTGGCTAGAGGCTAACAGAGCCGGATTTTTTATATTTTACTTTTCAGATTAATGGTCAATGTTAAAAGTTCACAATTCGAAAAAGTCTCATTAACTTGTATGAAGATATTTTTCTAACCACATTTAGCCCAAATATCAAAAATTGGGCTCTATTAGCCTCTAGCCACATGTGTCAGCTTCAATTTAAGATCTTCCCGAGCTCTTGTTATCGAGAAATCTTACAGCTACGAAATGGTGTTAATGTGAAAGTCGGTTTCGAGATAGGGTGATGCTAGTATCTGACGCATGTTTCTGATGGGCTTTCAGAAAAAATCACATAACTCTTGATCAGAACTCCATCGTTTGATCGTCTTAATTCATCAGTACTATTCTAGATATAACACATATAAGCTTAAATAATTATAAGTTAAAGCTGATAAAAGTCTTGATGACGCATGCATAAAAAAGTTCCTGTACTTTATAAAATTTACAACAGCATCGATTCTCAACTGAAGCGTTCTAGAACAGTCTATTCTTCATGGGATAATTTGGACATTTTTCTTTTGTGATGGATAAAATTCCTAAAAATTTTTAAAATTTTAAACCTTAAGAATTTAATTAAACTCTAGTTTAAAAGTTTTGTTTCTGGATTTTGTTCCACTTATCGCACGCAAGATGATATAGACTGAAAATTTTCTTGAAAGTTCTGTATTCTTGTGCAATCGTTGCTAAGATTTCCAAAGCGTCACCTTTTATGCCAAGATTGGAAGAAACGTATGTTTTACAATAGTTGAGAATCGGCGCTATTATAAATTTTTTGAGCTCATTATAACAAGTAACAATTCTCTACACTCGGCAGCACTCACCAAAAAAGGTTTCACTGTATATGTTGCTTGTTATTCTTGACAAAACGATGAAAGTTCGAAGTGCATGGAGAAGAGATAGATCCTCGTCTTTAAGAGCTGAAGGTTTGTTATGTTTCATCAGGATTTTTTATTACATCAATTTTTCGGATTAATTCAAAAATAGAAGAATCAAAATCTTTTGCCACTGTAAAGTCAATGTTACCTTGACTACCGATCATCACATTCAGCCATCCCTTTGGTTTATACTTTGATTCCACTAACAATGGTATAATGGGACGTTTTTGTTTATTAGCATATTCAATTTCTGTCATACACGTTTGTGATTCACGATATTTACTTGACATACATACAAGAACCATTTTTGAGTTATTAATTGCTTGTAATTGTAAACCGCTAGAATTGTTGTCTTTATTAATCCATATCCGATACGAATTTGTTGCCATTAAACGATTATAGATTTTATGACAAATTTGTTTATCAATATAACAGTAACTTATTATTAAATCAAAAGTATCAGATAACTGATACTCTGGCAAGAATAACTCACCTATGGTTTCATCCGTTGTTGTTCTTGATTGTTGTTTCTCTTTTTCTTTTCGTTTTAAAATAGACGCTTGTTCGTTACCAATGTTCCACATAAGAGCGGCTGCTTTTTTTTTCATTTTTTTTATCGTTTTTATCAATATAGATGCATTGTCTGTCTCTTCGTTTGATAGAGATACAAGTTTGTCAATCAATAAATCATTATTTTTTAATTTTTCAATTGCTTTTGGTCCAAAAAACATTATTTCTCGTATAATATCTAAAGCGGGCAGTTGAATCGTTGATTCATCAAATTTACCATATACGCATTTTGTTATCAGCAGTAAACCTTCTTTGTCTTCAACAATTTTTTCTTTAATTATTTCATTTTTAATAATAACTACAAGAAAATCAAACATCATTTTGCATTGTCACATGATAAAATGCAGCTAAGGAACAGCGCAGATATGCACTTTAAACACGAAGTATTTCTACAATTTACTTTGAGCAGAGACTTGATAATAAACACCTGAACCTAAGCTATATTTTCTAACAAAAGTGTACAATAATACTGACATAATGGGTGTTCCATTGAGAATGGCACGGTTTGTATTTTGCGCTTTCCTCTGTCAATTTTGTTAATTGAGACTTGAACCTTTCTCCAAAGGATGGCCCACTCAGTTCTCTATAAAATTATATGAAAAAGTTCCTGTTAAATACAGTCGTGAAATTCTATACAGTCAACATTGATATGTGCCTCAAGAGAACCGTTACGAACGCCCTTCCCCTAACATTAATCATCGTGCCCCGTCTGACCACATAGATGCTAAGTCACTCCGGTGCATGGTTTCCTATATTTTCGACTGTGTTCTTTCTCATAGCAAGTCGATCGAATTAGACGATGAAAAGCTAATGCTCATTTTCTGTGAAAACTTGCTTGGATTAAATGAAGGTTTCAATTTCGTTCTCTCTTCATTGTAGAAATTTTGTTTTACACCTGTTTGATTTTTTCAGGATGATAGAAGAAGCATTTTTCTTCGAATTGGTCAAAGACTTGACCATAAGAATTACGCTTTGATCCAAGTAAATCGTAGTTGCGAACAAGCTCAGCAGAAAATTCGAAAAGATCAAAAAGATCGAAGATAAAGGAAGGCAATGTTCATGCTAGTTTAAGTATCAGAATTGCGACTCGTCGTATAGAGCTTTTCTAGGGCTACAAAATGGTATATTCACCCTATCTATTTTAAGTCAAATAGTGGTGTAGTATTCATAAAACGCAAACAGGTAATTGGAAAATGTACCTTTTCGGGGGCATGTCTATGTTGGCTACATAGGATTTCACGATTGTATTTTACAGGAACTCTTGTAGTATGATTTTGTAGAGAATTGAACAGGCTATCTTTTGGAAAAAAACGTTCAAGTCTCAAGTGTCAAAATTGACAGAGAAAAGCGCAAAATACAAACAGTGCCATTCTTTATGGAACACTCGTTACTTTTAAACTTTTCTAATACACCATCTAATTTAACTCCATCGTGCGATTGTCTTAATTCATCAATACTATTCTTGATATAATATATAAAAGCTTGTAATAATTTGTCTGGATCATGAATGGTATCGATATCTATTTTTTCATCTAATGTTACTAGCAATGTTTGTGATGCAAATTGAATTCGTTTATCTTTTCTTAGTTGTAATTTTGAACAAATATTAGAAATATTTTTTTCTTTTAAAACTGCAACTAATTGTTTTTCAAACATCAGATTGTATAAAAGTGTTATCGAGTAGGAAATAACGCCAGCATCAGGATGGTACAGTTGCTCATTATCACTAGTTAATATCATTAAAATTTGATCAATAATTTGACTAGAAATAAATTCTTTTCGTGTTGACGGTGTTGATGCAAAATAATTTAATAATTTAATGTGACAACCCAGTGCTTCGATTCCCATACTTTTTTCCATCATTTCATCGCGCTCATTTGTTTCTGTGAAAAACAGACAAAAGAAACTGCAATTTTTAGTAGTTCCGAACTGTTTTGGTGGAATTACTATGTAAGATACAACATTCTAGCATTAGAGATGTGCATGACTAAGTTTGTTTGGTTATTGTCACCGTTGCAGACGGCAACGCTCACGAAGATTTCGAGAATTTTAATGACAAAACATAGTGATGACTTTTTCTAATAAATAATCAAAAAACAGTAGTGGCAAAAAAGATTGGAGAAGGAGCTAGAAAAAATATTTCTATTAAAAACCATTTTTCAGTGCACACACCGACTGATGACTTATATATTAACAGTTAATAGTTGATATTAGCTGACAAACTGCAGAAGAGCTATATACTGTAAGCTCCTTAAGAAATGTCTTCAGATTCTCTGTCATTGCCCTATTAAAACAGTACTTTCGCTAAAAAATACTTTGCTATGCTCGGTTTGTCTAGTATCCAAGCTGAAGACCAATTCCTTTTTGGGATGACCGAGATCAAGGCAAAGATCACACGATGGACGTAATTGTGGCAGTCACGCACAGCCGTAACTAAAATGCTAGAAGTTAGATAGGTTTCAAGCTGAAGACCGTTCGTTTCTAACTTTATGCTTTACTCTTACACCTAAACGAGAGAAAATGAGTAGTTTTGGAGTGAGGAGAGAAAGATATCATGGAGAATTCTCTTTTCCCGGAAAACGAAAAACTGCTATTATTTCTCTTCCTAAAGGTTGCTAGGTTTTTTTCACATTTTTCCATCATCATATGTTTCACAGATTTTTAGGTTTCTCATATTTATTCTGAACCTTTGTTACTTTTATTTTGACCTTTACTTTTTCTCTCGTGACTCATTCTCATGCTGCTTCCTCTCCCCTCCGTCCTTCGAGACTTTGAAGAACAGATGGAAAGCCTAGAAACCTGTGAAATATATGACAATGGGAGAAGAATGTAAATAATTTAAAAAGTTTCTCGTGTTGCAAAACTTTTCAGAAAAAATTTTGATTTTGATTTTTTCCGATAAACGAAACTTTCCATTCTGTGGAGAAAATGCAAGCTATCTTCAAATGTGTGAATTTTTGAAAACTTTGTTGAGAATTAATCATATACCTTCGCCTCCGATTATGGTTGATAAATGTTTATTAAAAATTGTTTCAGTATATCCAAATATTGTTTTACACAATGATTGAGCTATTTCATCTTGTCGATTTAAACTATGTTGAATAATAAATTCTGGACATTCACGAATAAACAATGATTGTTTCGGATCCAGTTCATGTCTTTCTCTAACAGCTCCAGCAGTTCGTTTCGGTTGATGAAGCACAATTGTTTCAAATATGCTGAGATAACGTTCTGATCGTAAACATCTAATTATTGGATCTAATAGCGATTTAACTTTATTTGTATCCATTTTTGAACAAATACGGACACTTCTGTTGGTATTTTTGCATATATTACGGTGTGATTCATGGTCATTAACGGTTAAATCTTCAATGTCACCTTTAAGTTTCTCCAGAAATGGTTTTGTCAAAAATTTACCTCCAACTTTTTGGTCTGAACGATACATTCGGCTTATTCCTGTAAACATAAGTAAAAAAGGATATAGTATAGGAAGCTCTCATGAAAAAGCTATCTTGGGCAACTGCGAAAGAACTTGATGAAAAGCCAATTTTTTGATCGAACATCATTCAATGAACGTGAATATGTTCCTTCTTCTGGAAGAAAGTAAAGCTGACAGTTAACCCAAACCTGTTGTCAAAAGGCAATGCTTTGTATTCTGAAAGTGTATTTTATGACCGTTTGGATCTGCAACTTTTGAGGTTTACCATAATTTGAAAATTACAATCACCGTTTCAATTAAGGATGATCTTCATAAAACAAGACGAACTGTTTCGCGTCAGGAGAAATATCTGCTATTGACACATCATACCTTTGAAATTTTTTGATGCATTCTCTTGCTGTGTTTGTCTTGACTTATCGACCATATTTGCTACATAACGAAAGTAGGCTATCGAGAATTTGTCTGGATCGTTGATTTCATCAATATTCATTCCATGCGTTATGATTGCTGACAGTGTTTGTGACGCAAATTGAATTTGTCTGTCTTTTGCTGAATGAAATCTTTCGCAAATAACAGCAACATTTTTTTGTTCTAAAATCGTAAATAATTGTTGATCGAGGACGAGATTATATAAAAGTATTATTGAATAAAACGTAACACCAACATCCACATGAAATAATTGTTCATTTTCATATATATTGTCTACCAATGCTCCACTAGTTAATATCTTTAAAATTTGATCAATTATTTGACTAGAAATAAACTCTTTTCGCGTTGACGGTGTTGATGCAAAATAATTTAATAATTTAATGTGATGAACTAATGCTTGCATTCTTGCACCCGTTTCTTCTTCAATCACTTCACCACCCTGATTTTTAGTTAATATACCTTCACCATTTAATATAATTTGTAAATGTTTATTAAAAATTGTTTCAGTATATCCAAATATTGTTTTACACAATGATTGAGCTATTTTATCTTGTCGATTTAAACTATGTTGAATAATAAATTCTGGACATTCACGAATAAAAAATGATTGTTTTGGATCAAATATTGGTTGACAAATATCAACTGTTTCTAATACACGAAGATAATATTTTGAACATAAACATTTAGCTATTGCGTCTAATAATGATGAATTAACAATATTCAATTTTGAACATAGACGAATAAGTCTATCAACAACTTTATATTTAACATGATATGATTTATATTCATTAACAGATAAATCTTCAATAGCATGTATAAATTTATCTAAACATTGTTTTCTCAAAAAGATTTCTTGATATGATTTTCCATATTTTTCTGCCGAAAAATCAAAAACATATTGTTTTTGCCAATCATCTTGTGATTCGTAACAATTCTGTTTACAAGATAGATAAAGATCATTCGGAGTTTGAGTTGAATAAATATGTATCAATGGTTCATTACGATATAAACATAAATATGCTATGAAATAACTTGTTGCATAAAAACAATCTTCTTCTACTTTTGTCATTGATATATGATGTGAATGATTAGATTTTGTTAATAACATTTCAAATGTACGTCCAATATAAACAAATAATTGATGATCAATAATAATTGGATTATTAAATATTTTTAATGTATTAATACTTGTAAATTCATGACAAATTATTGTTAAAATATAAAAACCATCTTGTTTATTATTAATTTTATTTAAATATGAAACAATTTCATCAAGTATATCTTTAACATTTTCAATTGTGACAGATGTCCAATATTTACGAAGTAGACGAATAAGAGAAGAATAACGTGCCAATAAGGAATTCATTGTTAGTAGAAGAAAATAGATAAAATGTTATCTGAAAATATATAAAAACATTTACAAACAACTTTATGGCAGGTAAATATATCATAAACCAGGCATATCAAACTTTGCATATCTTCTGTCAAAATTTAAAGATTGTCTCTTCAGTTTTTTTGGTACTCGTTGTGGACGTCGATGATGTGTATTCTACAGGGATGGACACAATAGAAGATCTCTCTACATAGAAGACCGTTCCCCACAGAGGTGGGATCGGTTCGGTTTAAAAGTTTTAAGAAATCAGGTCGGTTCGGTTCGATTCGGTTCGAAAATTTTTCAGTTCGACTCGGTTCGGTTGGAAGTTTTTCAAAAACTAGATCGGTTCGATTCGGTTCGGTTTGAAAGTGTTTCGGTTTATTTCGCTACGGTTATAAAAATATACGAACCGATCCCACCTCTGGTTCCCCAATACAAGTTCCCAACGGAGTACATAACGCAAAAACCAATAAAATCACTGATTTAATACAAAATCCTCATATTTTACCACTGAATTTCGACAATACTGATCGAAATAATGATGAAGCAGAGTCATACAAATAAACAGCGATCATGAACTGTATAAACACCGAAGTCTACAGCGCACAGTGGGCAACTAAGCGGACATTAGGCCAAAAAGTCGATTTTATCTATCTTGAAATACAAATAGTGCAAAATGTAGCTCTTGAAATTCTCTATCGAATGGTGTATAAACGTCTATTGTG